TAAATATTATATAAAATAATCGTTAAATATATGAAATATAAATATTATTAGAAATTCTTCATAAAATCGAGAATATTTTAGCACATTTTATATAAATATTTTACATTTATATTATTGAAATAGCTTATTTGAATGATGTTTGATAAATTTGATAAGAAAATGATAAAAAGAGATGATTAAATATAGCAAATTTTCATGGAGTTAATAAAGTATATGGGATTCAATGTTATATTCTGCAAAGTAATATGGTGGGATTTTATAGACTGTTAAAGGTGATTAAAAGGGTTTCAGCGGTGGGAATTTTAATAAAGATTTTGAGGAATTTGTCAGGGACTTATAACCTTGTCTAAAGGATCAAATAAGGACCGAAACAGCAAATGGAGGTCTGTGGCGCGGTATGCCAAAAGTGCACAGCAAGGTTTGATGGAATATTGGGAAGAAGCAGCAGCGGAGTGATTTTAAGTATGTTGGTAGACCTAGGAGAATTTTACTGCTAAGAGGACGGGTTTTTGAAGTAATTAATGGGATTGCGAGTGGGGGGAAGGGAGAGGGGGTGTAGCGTATACTGGGAAGACTACGCGAAATGTGGGAGAGGCTACCGAGTGTGCAGGTAAGTTTTTTCCAGGCAGGCACGAATGCAGATGCAAATCAATATAATAGATTACAAAAAAAAGACCACTCGCAAAGATTCCGCACCTCTACCCATGTTTCAAGGGCAAAGCTCCGCTCCAAATCTCATCTGCGACATTTTCGGAAAGATATGAGTTTAACAGCACAATAATAGGTCCTAAGGCGACCGGCTACTGCTAATCCAGAGGCCAACATTGGTGAGTTTCCAAGTGTTTTGAAAATTTATTCTCTAACTGCTATTTCGATTTTGAGCGGTGGTTTTTTCATTCGGTGGAGGTCTTTTTCACATGATTTGTATTATTCATATAAAAATTCGAAAAGAAATTAGAAATGTCTGAGAAAAATTTTTCGCGAAAGAATCATTTTTTTCAAAAAAGTGTGAAATTCTGCTTCAGTGATGTGTGAAATATAAAATTTATTTTTAAATTTATTTTATGAAAATTTAATTTTTTTCGAAACCTTATTTTTCATTTTATTTTCCGAATTCTTCTTTTGCTATTTTTCCTCGTTATTTTTCTTTTTTCATCGTTAAATGTGTCGTAAAATGAATGCCTTCCGAATAAGAAAATTTCCCTTTTAATAAATTTTTTGCTCGGACGATTTTTACATATTTCATTTGATGTGACCACTGTTATTTATAGTTATTCAATTTTTCTATATAATCGTCTAAGATTTTTGGTTTTTTTTTCTTCGTTAGCAGTTATTTGCTATTTAACTTTAATGTACTGCACTTTGCATTCGTAAATCGCAATAAGAAATTTGGAGGAATTCGTGGAATTCGTGAGAAATGTTACTTCAAATCAGATAAGTATTTCCATTTGCCTTAACGGTAAGTAAAGTGACGAAAAATATTTGAACTTGCTTCTGTCTTTTGCTGAACAAATCTTAAGAAATGACCAAAATTTCTTTTTACATTGATTCAATTAAATTTGAATATTTCAAAGCAAAAAATTTCTTAAATTATTGTTGAAAAATCTGCCAAATTTAAGAAATTCTTCTTGAAAAATATTTTTAATATTTTAGCGCTTTTCATACTAGCATATCTGCCATAAATGCGTCTCTCACTATCTCGAAATCTTTTGGTTTGAGATAGTTGAAAGACTAGTTATCAGTTTTATGTGAATCTTCAATCGAACCATACTATAGTTTGGTCTATGAAGATTACCAGTTTCACCGGCACGGAATAGCCATCTCCCTACGGAATTCTCCCAACGGCTACTGATATAATCAGTCTGGTTAGAGTTATCCGGAGAGTTAGTTCCATGTTCTTTGATTTCAGAAGCGTGTTACAAATTGTGTTCATTCATGCTTTTATGCAGAGCCATATTTGCCAGTTACCGAGTTCACCATGACGACATGTGACGTACGGGCGCATTCCATTCTCCCGTCTTTAAGCCATTTCATTCCAAGTCATCCGAAACCGAAACACCAAAGTCTCTGCTGAAGCAGGTAATTGCTCGAGACCCTAAATGATGAAGACGTACCTTCGACAAGCAGACGATATCCACACGATATTTGGAAAGAAAGAGCGGACAGTATCACTTGGCTTGCAATGTTCACAAACATTCCGGAGTTCCAAGCAGTTTTAACCAACACCTCACCACGAGTGCAAAGTTCCTACAAACAATTTCCATTTACCTTGATATGCTTCGAGCAACTACTCTGGCTTGCAGGTACATCGTATTCTCAAACGTTTTACTGCACCCGGATTGCTTATCGCTTATTGCTTACCACCAGACTGGAATACATGCGGTCAGAGGACGCGGAGCTGTGTCAGAATGGTCAGAATGATTAAATTTTTTCTCCACAGAGTCATTTAGGGATATAGTCACAGTTGGGTGTCCAAAAACCATCCGATATAATAGGTTTATCTCTGTCAAAAACAAAGGCGAAATTTAAGGATGAAAAAAAAATGGAAAATGGAAAAAAGAAGAAAAAAAATTTCATTTTGGAGTTGAAGTTGGAGCTAGTCAAAACCTTTTCGAGAAAAATACTTGTATTGATTCTAATTGGGGGTGGAATGCCTCAGAAGTTCTTGCTTAATTCGGAGCGACGATGTTAAGGTTCTACTCTCTGCAGAAGTAAATTTACCCAAAAATTCAAATGCTGGTTCACCTACATTTCTATCACCAAGGAACTCTCTGGCATGTTTATCCTGTGTGACAAGCCAGCGGAGCGAATCTTACCAGTAATGGTGAGAGTTCTTTAAAAAGTTTGTCTATTTGAATCTATAAGTAATAATCAATAATGAAGAGTAGATAGATGATGCGACTGCTCACTCCATTGGTTCCCTCATTGCAATGCTTTATATGCTTAATTCAAATCGATCGATTTTTACGGAAATTTTTTGAGTAAATGTGGAAGATTTTTACGCCATCAATATAAAGATGAAATGAAAGAAGGATTTTTACTGAAAAATTTAGCAAAAGCAGAGCAATTTTCAGAAACACCAAAAATAAGGAGAATTGCATAAATAAAATGCGAGAACGATGCAATATTGATAGCAATCCGATTCTTTCTTGCCGTTTTATTAGTTTTTACGTTATTTTCATTGTTTCCGATGTGTATAAATTTATCTACATTGTTAACTATCGTGTTTAACTACAATTAACCGAAAAGAGCCTTTAACAGTTTTTTATCGAAACAAGTTTACTTATATTTTATCGATCAATAATTAAATATTTTGTAGACAAAAGCTAGTTTTGTTGCCTTAACATTGGTTTTAAAATAAGGTAATGCAGTAATTGCCTCAAAGTTTTAATTTAACTCCTTCTACATTTTTTAGAAGTTTTTTAAGACATATTTGATTGTTTTTTTTTTTTTTTCTGCTGATGAATTTCATTCTTTTTTTAACAGCAAAATTTTATTCGCGATAAGTGCAGTTTGTTATAGTTAAATTTCGAAGTGATAAAAAAGAAGAAATATTTAAAAAAATAATTTAATAATATTTAGCAACAAAAAAACAAAATTTTAGTGAGATTTTATAAAAATTTAGGAAATAAATAAATATAATAAACGTTAAAGAATAATTTGTATAGAAATGAATTGTAAGAAATGAAACAAAATGAAATGAATTCTACTAATTCTTAAAAAATCTAATTTTGCTTAACTTTAAACATTTAAATTATGGATGGGAGGGACGAAGGAGGGAAGAATGTTTTTGCAGGCCGTCGATCGTTCGGTGCGCAACATTGCACTTTAAATGGTTGGACTAAAGTCTTATATTTGAGTCCTATATTATACATGAAAATATTTTTAACGGAGGTATTCATGTAAAGATTCTGAATTTAAAATTTGAAATCTTTTGACTGTTACGCTAAGCAAATCCAAGCCATTTTCCTCAGCCGTTGAACGAGATCTGAAATATCGGAGACTCATTAACGGAGACACTTGCGGTCGACCGGAGAGTTTTGTGAAAACGTTATTTGGTTTGGCGCACTAAAGCGAATTGTGCAAATGTTTTTCGAATTAATGTTATGCAGATGATTCCTGCCTCGTTGCGCGTGAGTATTGCCTTCGGCCTTCGTCCATCAGCCTTAGTATTTCGAAATTAGAGATGTCGCTGATGACATTGATATAGAGTTGTTCCTCGACTTAACCTTAGAGTAATTGGGAGTGGAATCGGACTGTTTGATAATGACCATTAAAATAATCTAAAATCCTGAAGCTAAATAGTTCACCAGTGGTACCCATATTGTGGATAGTATCACCAGTAATTTACAATGTAATGTGTTACCAAAACAGCGAAATCAAGTAATGCAATATAAATAGTCTGACTAACTTTTTACTCGCTAAGAATCTGCGTTATAGTACGCCTTTTTTCCATAAAAATCATTCCGATTAGCGGGAATCAGATTAGTCACACCAAAAAGTAATTACGGTTCTTTCTAGAACACTACTGGCTTCGAATTCGAATGTGGTGGGCAGACAGTCAGATAGGCATGATTTCTTACCTTACTGAATTTTTTTCTTTTCTAATTTACTTGAAACATGCTCAAGTAAGATTTGCTAATTGCTAATTTGCTTGATCTCTTTGCAAAATTATCATTTTTGCGTTGTGAACTGACGAAATTTTCAGATGTAAATATCTCAGTTTTTAATAAAGTACTTTTAGATTGAAACGCCGTCGATTCGAATATTATTTCGTTCATTTAATGAGCGATGAAAATATGGAAATTTTTTAACGATATTTTTTTAAATTAAAATACAACATTATTAAAAGCGATTAGTGGAAGGATTTGGCCCGAATGGGCTGCATTTATTCAACTGTATTGTGGATATGGTGGTGGTCGTCAATTTTCCTCCTATTAAGGCTCGATTTTGCATGTGGATTGTCCAGAAAGCTTCCAAAGACAGCGATGAATTCAGAGTTTCTAAGACGAGCACAACAAGCCAGTCAGCTGGAAGACGACTTTGATATTTCTTACAATGCTGAATCAACGACCGAATCAAATCTATCAGTTTTAATTTTAAAATTAAGTTCTACTCATGAATTTCGTAGAAAAAGAGATACGATTGGCGTTTCGAGTTTTCCGACGACCGATTTAGCTGTTATCTCATCTTCCTTACCGCCAGACGTGGTGAAACAATATAGTGCAATGAAACTTCGTAAATTCTTTAAGATATTTTTCTTATTTTCTTTTTTCTGATTCATGCGAAAAAATTTTGAGCCAAAGAATTAGGTTTAGAAAATTCTTATTATTTTTTACCAGTATTTCAAGCGAGCGTTTTCTTACGCATTATTGTTATTTCCTGCTTAAGAGATTCCGGAATGCGAAGACTCAACTAATGATTGTGCATATGGTGGCAAATGTGTAGCTGCTCCAGATGGGTATAAGTCCTGCCTTTGTCCTGCTAGTTGCCCAGTTTGTAAGTCTTTCTTTTAATTAGGACAAAAAGTTTGCCACAAAGTTTTTTTGGCGTTAATTGATTAATTATTTTAACTCTATTCTTCACTGATTATTTCTTATAAAACTTTATTTCAAATAAAAATTTAAGTCGTACTTATTGAGAGTTTTGAAGTAAAAGTAGCAATTAACCACAATAATAATTCGAAACATAAAGTATTACTCATTCTCTGTTTTTTTGGCTTTTTTTGCAATGAAAGAACTAATTATGTGATTAGTCTTTTTTCTAGCAATACCTGTATCCTGTCGAGCCGAAAAGCAAGATGATTATTGCATGTCAATGAGTGATGATTATAGAGAAAAATATAGTTTACCGGACCCAGCATGTCATATGGTTATTCCATTTCGCTTTTTTAAAGATAAAAACATTGAACAACTAACAATTATAATTTGATAATTAAACATATTGATTGATCAAAAAAATTTAATTTGATGAATAAAACATAGATAGAATGTATTCTTCTGCAAATATTTTTTAATTTAGAAAGGATCGTCGACTATCTAAAACTACATTAACATATTGGATGATTATTTATGGTGTAAGAATTTTTAGTAATAAAAAATTTACAGGGTATATGTGTGTGTCCGCCGATGTTTGACCCATGGAAGATGGAAGGATCTGTGAATCTTTTGCCTTTCAAATGCGATCGAAGTAATTAGCATTATTGACTGATAGAATTTGGAAGTTTTTTGGATATTAAAAATTCTTTTCAAATACCAAAACTATATCAGAATTTTATTTTTAAATATTTTTTAATATTTTCTTTGCTGCACGAATATTTCAGGAGAATTGAAAGTGCAAGGGGTGGCAATTCCTTCTGATTCTGTATATCAAGGAACAGATGCGATTCTTTTTTGTTGCATAAATATGGATCCTAGAACCTTTGTTAATGATGATGGTGTAAGTTTTTTTAGCACTTTGCAGATTGCTTCACTAGTAGCAGAAAAATATAAATCAGTTTTAAAATTTACAATTTTTGGGGCAATTGCTTAGCTTATTGGCCTAGGTTTTTTATTTATTTGCTGTATCTACTTTTTCTGCCATATATTGATAAATGTCATATTTAAATTTGCTACTTTTTCCTTTACTTTTCCTTCTTACAAATATATGAAAGATAAAGAAAATTAGTCATTTTTCAGTCTTTTTTTTCTAGGTTGATTTCATTCAAAATTCGTCAATAATTCGTGAACCAACAAATACTCCTTATGATGAACTCTTTACCGATGGTTTCGAGCCTCCTCGATGTTGGTCTTTAGATATAAAAAATGCTCAATTCTCAGATAGTGGATCTTATTTATGTCATGTGAAAACAATTGGACGTCATGAGATCCCTGCAAATTTTACGATTGAATTTGTTGTAAAAGGTATTTTTCATTTAAAATATAAAAAAATGAATTATCTTTATCCAGTATATAAATATTTCCTCTGTTAAATCGGCATCTGCAACAAACAGCTGAAATAGATTACTGGTAATACTTGATGAAACAAGTAATGCAGCTATGGAAATAAAGACTTTGTCGATTAGGACTTAGGACTGAATATCATTTTTGATGTGTTGGAAATTTATTCCAAATTTGACGATACTCCTGTTTCTTACTGCTTGAAACAGTTGCTAGAACAATTATCCGTACATTCAGAACATCGGGCCTTTCGTCCCATGGTTAGACGATTAATGCGTCGGAGGACAACTGCAATTTCAAGTTCAATAACCCATTCTCCTTTCTTTTCGAAAATCTATAGAAATAGTACTTCACCAACTACCACGTCAACGAAATTTCGCCCTAGAAGCGAAAAAAAAAATTCAACAATCGATGCAGTCGAAGAAGAAAGTGAGTTGGAATGCACTTATTGAATGCTGCTTGGATAAGTTGCATGCCAAATGAGAATGGTGCTCCATTTTTGCATGTTTTATTCATTCATGCTTATTATTTCATTTTAAGGATTTTTCTGTGGCTTATTTTTGCGTATTTCGATTTTAATTACAATAATGTTTTAAAATTATTCCTTCTTTATCTTTATTGATTAAGAAACAAGGAGAAACAATTTTTTTAGTTAATATTTTAGGATTCTGAGGATTATTTCTGAATTATTCACTTAGCATGTTAATTTATGGTTTTATAGTTGTATTTTGCGAATTTTCGTTGTTTTAAATTATTTTATTGTTTTATTTATATTTGTTTTGAATTTGTGTCATATAATATTTTATATGTAATATATATGCTGTTGATGATTTACTATAATTGTTCTTTCTCTTGTTCCTAAATTTTTTCTTCAAAATTCTTGTACTAAAATTCTTTTCATTTCATCTTCGATAGCGATGAGTTTAAGATTCCATATAGTTTAAAATTCAAGAAGTTGTCCGATTAATTAATCAGTCGTCAAAAATTGCTTAAAAACTTGAAATTTTATTAAAGGAAAGATGTATTGTTTTTTATAATAAATATGAGAATTTACCTTTTGATATTCAAACTCGTAGCGTTCAACTAATTTAAGCAAAAAGTTCTTTGATTATTCTTTATTTGTCGCAGATAAAAATGACTTAAAGCGCTTATTTTATGCCATCCACATTGATATTTCACTATTCTTTGCATGATTGTTAAGCATGTTTTAAATTTTAATTGCCCTTCTCTAGTGCTGATATATTTTCCTCAGTTTCTCCATCTTGTTCAAATCGGCCAATTTCTAATTCGTTGGCATAAAAATGAGACGAACTGTGGGCAACAAAAATTGTATTCATTATTTGCAATGCTTTTTAAAATTTTGATTGAAAATACGCATAGATTTTTCAGCTCCTCGTATGATTCAGAATATTACCGTGAAAGCAAACGCAACTCATGCAGAAATACACTGGGATACACAGGAAGGACCGATGCTGAAAATTAATTTCAAGTAATCGTTTTAAATTTATGGATAGATTTATAAGGCAGCATGTTGGTTTTCGTTTTTTCTTCATTATTCTTAAACAAATTAGGACAAACAAAAGATAATGAATGTAAGGGTGAAAAAGCTCCTTTAAAAGTGGTTTTTAGCAGTAAATAACCGAAAAGAAAAAGAAAAAAAAACCTGAATATAATGTTATTACTTCTACTGACCCTGAAAATTGTTTAATCGATGTATGTTTTGCCGTATTATCATTGCCAGTCTTGAAATGATTAATATGTGAAATTTATCAATTTTATTACATTCTTTTCTTGATTGATTTTTATTTTGCCAACAGGTTACTTAGAAGGACAGATGGTGTTGAAGTTTGGGCTCAGAAAAATGCGAAACCAGGTGTGGTTATCAGTAATTTGCTTCCAGCTACACCATATACTTTATTCATTTCTGTATTTGATGGTCAGAATGATCCATTCAAAATCACTGAGCAATTTACAACAGCTGAAAGTGGTAAGATTGCTTATGAGAATATTTTTTGTAATAATCGAAAAAAAGACATTTTTTTCGTTTGAAAAAATCGATTGATAAGTTTAAAGCTCTCTTTAAGATGGAAAAAATGAAAAAAATTAGACAAATTGGGAATTTTTTACGAATTTAAATTTTGAATTTTTATTTTTGGTGGTATCCAAAGTTAGAGGAAATCGATGAAATTTTTTAATAGGAGAAATTTGCAGTTGTAGTTGATTTTATTGGGTGCTATATATATTGAATTTTTGGTGATCATTGAATATTTTAATATATTCGTTGAATATTTGAAATTCTTAGTTGGCGTATAAGGTTATATGAATGTTTTATCTATTATTTGAACGCAAACGTTTAGTTCGAATTTTAGTAATAATTTAATTTATTTTTTTTTTAGCGCCTGAACCACCAACACTTGGCGAAATTAGAATTTTGAATTTACGTGATGGGCTGAAATGTGAAGTTGAATGGACTCCGCCAAAAACTCCTAATGGCAGGATTATTAAATATTATGTATGCTTTTTCTGATGTTTTTCTTACATTCCGTTTATATTTTCACTGGTTTTTTTAGGCACTACTAATTTTCTTTTGACCAGTTCTTGACCTTAAGGCTGTGAAAAATACTTGGTAGTGAAAATACTTAGCTCACCATCTCTATTTAGGCGTTTATTTAGTAGAAGTATAGGTGGTATCGTTCAGATTTTTGAATGACAGGAAAAATGGCTGAATCGTGGTGCTTTAAATTATAGTTTAAACGATACACTGCATGGCTGTGCTTACATCTGTTATGAAGAAATGGAAATGAATAATGTTGATTTTTAAAATACTTGAATGATTTTTTAAAAATAATTGCAAGATTCTCTGTTGTTTACTTCTTCCATGCTTATTGTGTTAGGTTACGGTTCGTGGTATAGTGCGATACGCTCCCCATGGTATTCTGTCTGGGGATGATTTTCCTCTAGCTGAAAGAGATAGGTGCGCTAACTTCAATGGAGATGAAAAGAGCTTTACAACAGCTGATGCAATTGCCGATTTTTATTCGTGCCGTTTCGGACCACTTAAGGTATCTAAAGTTTAAAAAATGATGCAAAGATTTTAAATTCCTGAAAATTTTTATCATTAAATTTGTGGAAAAATGATATAATGGTAAAAGGCAATGTGTCAATGTGCATGTGCCTATAGGGATGATGTGATCATGGTCTTAGATCCTCTATTCCGAAAAGCTATTTATACAAATATTTTTTCATCTGTTCCACATAATTTTTTTATTTTCCTTTAATATCCCGTCATAATTCTCTTTATATTATCATAACCTACATCTTAAACTCATACCGTTCAGATTATCTTATAGTCTTTGTATTTTGACGTTGAAGTTGGGGTTTGGCTGTGCACTTTTGTTATTTCCTGTTAATACTCTTTTAAGCCCTTTCAAGCCCAGATATATGTGCTTTTTCATCTCATCAAATCTTGTTTTTTAAAAAACTCTTCCCTCTGTCTGTCTATATTATTAAAATTGCCTGTCAAATTTTTTAAATTTTTTTTCTTCTAGAAAAATGATTTACCTTGGGAGAATCTTGATATATTTTACAAAAAATTTTCCTTTTTTTTTACGTTTTCTGTTCGTTGATATTGCAGAATTCTCATTTATTCTACATACTTTTCTACATACTTCATATATTCTACTTTTATCTGAAGCATCTCGCATTAAGATTATGAAAGCATAGTGTATATAATGAAAGGGAACCAAGGTAGTAAAGGAATATGAATTGATGGAATTGAAGGATGTCAGAATGCTTTCAGGCCAGTTTTATGGGGAATTTAATGCATTTATGACAACACTGTTAACAGGAAGATGTGTTAAGGAAATAAGAGAATGATTAATTTTAAAGGCATATTAAAAGGACGTAGAGGCTTAAAGGTTAAATTAAGCGAGTTAGGGATTATGAATCAGTTTTTTGATCCTAATTTCGGAATATATTTTATGTTAACCCCAATTATTTAACTTTATAATGTAATAGAAATTTCATATGATAACAAATCATAGACAAATTTCAAGTCTTTTTACTATTATAGCCCAATCGAAATTATACAGCAACAGTATGGGCTGTTAATGGAGCTGGCAAAAGTCGTCCTATTTCATTTTCGGATAGTTGCGTAACAAACTTTGCGCAGCCAGATTCGGTAGATGCACCACTTTCATCAACACAGAATGGAAGTTCGTTTGCCTTATCGTTTGGAAGTGAACCAGATCAGACAAATGGACCCGTTTCGTAAATTTTTTTTCAGACTTTTTGAATATGTGAGATTGTAAATAAATCGGAATTCATTTTTTTCAAAGGATTTTAAGAAAAGAATTTAAAATTCTGGGATATTTTTTGAAAATTTGCCATAAATAATGTTTCATATTGTATTTTTTATAGGTGTTACTACATTGCTATTGTTCCACTTCATACTGATGTTGCAATCGAAGAAATTCCTGCTCCTGATTCTCTTGTTGTTGATACTTTTTTGAAAACACTGGAAAACAATCTTTTGCAGGATGATCCTTCTAAAGTGATCTTTCTTTTTTTTAAAATATTTTTTAAAATTTACTGAAGCAAAAAAATATGACATTTTTATCGCTGGAAATTTTCTGTAATTTATCATTCATTTAACCATTCTTGAATTGGATAGTAATTGTTTCTATTGATTCATTTTAGAGCACTAAAAAATTTAAAAATCGACGGTACTTTGCATATATTGCTGAAAGCTATGCAAATTTCCCTCGCCACACTATGATTGGAGATGGTAACACAACAGCTGATGTTGATCCTTGCAATGTGTTGTAGGTTTTCTGTTTTTTTTTTTAAACTGTAAGAAAGCATTTATAAATGAATAAACCATTTTATTTTATTAAACTGTATTATAGCTGTATAACTGTATTAATGTACATTGGTAAGTGAATTTGCTATATAAATTAATTTCCTTGAATTATTCGAATAATTTTGCGACTTAAGATTTCTGCTGGTTTATAATTTATATTATGAAAGAATTTTTTTGTGCTATGATATGTGCTCTATTTCAGTATTCCAAAGTTCCAACTTTTATGAAACCTGTTTTCCAGTTATCTTAGTCGGCATCGTCCTGAAGATCCAGCATTGAGACCAGGATTGAAGTACACTGGCTTTATGATTGTTCGTGTAGATCGCGATGATTCTTCTCGAGATGAAATTCTTCGTCACCCTGATAACTTCCATAAAAGGAGGTTGTTTTTCATCTAAATTTTGTTTAGAATATGTGCTAAGGTAAGGATTGAGAATAAGATCCGTATATGCCTTAGAGATTTTTGAAATTTCATGGGAGAAAATGGGAGGAAAATCTTTATTTTTACCAAATCATAGTAGCATTAGCGACAGTATCTGTGGTTTTTTCTTCGCTAAAAATCGCTATTATCTTTGTATTACAATACTTTGTAATATTGTTTGAATTTATTTTTGATTTTATTCTTTTAATTATTTATTTTTATTTATTTGTTATTTATTATTTATTAATTTATGCATTTATAAATATTTGGAGAAGATTCCTTAAACTTTGAGGATCCTGTGAGCATTATTTGGTTACCAGAGATCAGAAAAATTTAAGGATTCTTTCAATATTTGCTGAATGTTGGCTTTCAGTTTTTGAATTAAAATTTGCTTCTTTATTCGTTAAAAAATGCTTAGAATCTTCTATATTATTTCTCTGATTTCCATAACTGTTGTAAATTCATTTCCTTTATTTAGAAAGCGTTATTGGTTTAGCTATCGTGAAGAATCAGAATTAACAGGTCGTGCTCGTTCATCGCGGCAGCTAATTATTAGTGGACCTGCTTATGGATTCAGCAATTATTTTAAACCAGTTATACTCGAAGCATTTGATGGTGAAGTTTTCAATTTGGCAAGGAAATATGAAACTAGAGAAATACCAAGGGTGAAAGAGAAACTAGAGAAGATGTGGAAAATGGGGGCCAAAATAGTTTAGTGGTTGGAGGCTTCTACCCGTAAACTAGAAATGTGACTCCAACAAGTGATTCCAAGAAAAGTATCAGAGATCTTTGTCCAGAAGAGCGCTCTGCTAAGAGTGACTAAGATATTACCCTCAAGCTCCTAGGCCTCCGATAAGTTGGCCTATATCACCTATAGGGTAGGGAGAGGGAAAGAGATTTTTTTGTATATTAAGTACTTTTGATTAATTCTTTTTTTTTTTTAAATATGTTTAGATGTTCTGATAACTCGTTTTTTTTCAAAAATGTATTTACAGTATTCTTAAGTTCTTCGATTTCATTGATTTACTTTAGGAAATTTTGCTCAATCGTGGATGACTATTGCTTTCACAACATTTTCTCTATTCATTTTCATTCTTATTGTTTGTTCTGTCGTTACGTATTTTTTACATAAGTAAGTTAAACGTTGAAAATTTTAAAAATAAAATAATTAATACATTTTGCAATATTCAGCCAACAAGATTTTGGGAAATTATTTTAATATGAACGATATTTTAGACGAGGATTGATAAAGCAGTTATGCCCTATTAATAAAGATCGAACTCTATTAAGGCCGCAATTTCACGCCACTCCTATTGAAGATCTTCCTGCTGAATTCATTATTAGACATAGAGATAGCAATTTTTTATTCATATCAGAATTCGAGGTTGATATTTTTTCTCTGGTTTTCTTAGTTTTCATAGGTTTTTACCTTTAATAATTTGAATAATTTTTAAAATGATGCGAAAATTTTTATTTGGTCTGTCGCTTTATTTTATGAAAATTCGTTTCAGAAGTAGATAAATCCGTAAATACCTAAAAATTTTTTTGAGATTCGAAATATATTTTCAAAGCGAATGGCTTTTAGTAAAACTTTTAGAGAAATTAAGTTAAATTTTATTTCATCCAAAATAGTGTATTTACAATATTTTATTTCTTTAATTTAATTTACTGTCAATTTAATAGAGTGATTCTTTGAATATATTCTTTGGATTTTACATTTGATTTTATATTAAAGATGGAATATTTTAAAATAATCCTGTATCCTGTGAAAATCCTCGAAAGTCCCATATTTTTCCAAATAATTCGTGCAAATTTATTGTAAATGGTTTAGGCATTACCTCATTACCATCGATCTTATGAATCAAGTGCATCGGAACGACGCGAAAACTCTCATAAAAATCGGTATAATGATATTAAAGCATTTGATTCTACACGAGTGAAGTTAAGTGTTGTCAATGCTGATCCATCCACAGATTACATTAACGCTAATTTTATAAAGGTTCTCTTTCTTTATTTCCAAGAGTTTTTTTATTTTTATTTTTCAATTTTATTTTATTTTTTGAAAATAGCACTTCTGTGTGTAATATTAAAAAAATTTTTATTTTTAGTTCTTTTCTTATTCTTATAAAATTTTTTTATCTGTTGTTTCAAAAGACACTTTAAAACAATATGAAAAAGTCAGTTTTATTTGATGTTTGTTACTATATAATTGCAATTAAGGGATATAAAGGCCAAAAGACTTTTATTGCAACACAAGGGCCTGTGGATGCGAGCATTGATGATTTTTGGCGGATGGTATGGGAGCATAACGTTCAGCTAATTGTAATGGTCGCAAATTTGTATGAACGCAGCCGAGTAAGCTTTAATTTAAATGTCAAGCTTCATTGTATGTTAGGCTTATTCCAGGTGTTTTTCAAATGTGGATAGGTAATCTGTCGTAAGCTCTGGATTCCATCGTTTCTACCATTATACTGGTGATGTTTGTTTAATAATCGCCAATTCCCTCACATTTCTTTACAAAAAAAAGATGATTTTTGAATCGAATAATTTTTAGCTATTTAAAAAATAAACAAATTACAGTGTCAGTGTTCGAAATATTGGCCTGATGATGTCTCGAAAATTTATGACAAAATCGAGGTTCGACCGATTGATTCAACTTTTTATTCTGATTATGCTATTCGCACATTTGAAATCCAAAAAATTGCTGGTAGTACCATAGGGAATGGAATTACGACAGGTCAACCGGCAGTAATTTCTTATGAAGCGAGCAGTGATGATAACGGACATTCTGGCGAACCAGTTGCGGTCATTATTAATAAGTCTCGGTTCGTTTCGTTTGAATTTCATTTCATGAATAGTTTTCGCATTTTGCTATCGTAAATGTGAATGATTTTCACGTGATATAAATTTGCTTTCAGACTACTTACCATCTCGTTTAATTCTTTGCTATATTAATTTAATAATTTTTATTTCTAGCGCTATTTCGACGAAAGGTTCGGTCGAATCAATCCTTAATTCTGATTATGCCAACATTCCTAGCGATTCGAACAGAAATTCTCGCAGCAGTAACAATTTGCGACTTGGCACAGGCGAAACAGAGTTTGTTACTCGTTCACTAGGTATAGGTATTTTATTTGTGCTCGAAAAATCCATGAATTTTCACAAATTGTTCGCTATTACAGTTTGATCTCTAAAATTTTTCAGATTGTCGGAAGGTTGTTCAATATCACTATACATCTTGGAACGATCTTCAAGCTCCTGAGTGTACTACAGGTCTTCTAAGGTTCTTAAAGAAATTACGCAATTTGAAAGAATTCAACAGTAGTCCAGTAGTTGTGCACTGCAGGTTACAATTTTTTCTGTCGTTCGGCCAATCACGACTGATGGCATCGAGTCATAAAAATTGTTAAATATATATCTAATTGTTAAATATAAATATATTTAAAATCTACTGTACGGTTTTAGTGCTGGAGTTGGACGCACGGGTACTTTTATAGCACTAGATAGTCTTTTGGATCAGTGTATAGAAGAAGGTAAAGCGGATGTGTTTGGTTTTGTTTCAGAAATGAGAAAGCAACGAAATATCATGGTACAAAATTATGTAAGCTTTTTTTTCTTTCGTTTTTAAAATTATTTTTTTAAATAGTGAAAGAGTGCTTTCGTTATGCTTTCGTTATAAAATTTTTCTTCTCTCATACCTAATCATCTCTCAATTTTATTAATAATTCATTGAGGTAACATTAAGATAAAGAGATCATTTGATGAAAAATCGTTGTTATTGTTTTTTAGTTTTGTTGTATCATTTGAAGTTTGTAGAAAAAGTGAAAGTGAAAAAGAGAGATGATGGGAATTTTTTTTGGAGAACCAAATACGAAATAATTGGTTTAAAGGTGGAATTTACAGGAACAATATGTTTTCATTTATAAAGCATTGGCTGAGTGGTATATGTTTGGTGAAACAGATGTAAGTATTGATAAATTTCCTGAGTACTATCGTTCATTAAAAGAAATCCAACGTGATAAACAATCTTTTAACGCAAGTGCTAATATCGCTTCATTGGCATCGGTTGTACTGAAATCTACAACACCTCGACTGAATCGAACTAGTAGTCAGGCTTCTTCTTCTGATAAAACTGTTACCGCAATGGAAGCTGAGTTTAAAGTGAGTTTAATTATACGATTTATATATATATATATATGTATATATTTATAGCAGAAACAACATAATATTTCCCGAATAACGGAATACCGTAGTGGTTAAAGCGGATGATAGTGGATGATTAATGGAGTATAGCAATAATAGTTCGAATCGCAGCAAATCCTTTCTAGTGAATCTCATTTTATGAGAATATATAAAAGCTTATCTGCGTTATCTAAGTTTTCCAAGCCCTTTGATAAAGGGTCAGAAGTTTGGGATCACCCATACCACCCACAAGGATTGAGAAGGAAATTTTTGTATATCACCTAGTAGCAGTGAAATGCAGGTAGGAACAACATACACTGAGTGGCATAACCAAGTAGCTTGCATTGTCTACAGAAATATGTACCATTTGTGGACTAGACTCTTCTAAGATCAAATGGAAGATTCGCTATTAAAAGCAGAATGCTTACTGATCTAAACATAGAAACAGGAATTGGCCAATCAACCAGACATTAGCGGTTAGTGGTCAGAAAATATTAGGATGATAGGTGTAGTCAAGTGACATGATCACCAGGAATATGATAAGCTATAGAAATGCCAAGGGCTAGAAGAAGAACTAGAGAAGATGTGGGAAATGAAAGCCAAAGTAATCCCTGTGGTAATTAGAGCATTCGAGATTTGTGACCTCGAAGTTAGAAAAGTAACTTCAACAGATTCCATGAACAAATCAGACATCTCTATCCATGAGCCAATGCTGGGAGCAGCTAAGGTACTGCGCAGAATTCTCAGGCCCCTAGCAGAGGATTTGAAGTTGAAGGTCAATGCCACCAATACGGAGTGAAAAGGAATATTCAATTTTCGTAAGATTGATAATTAATTTTAGAGCTTTTCTACCTTACATTTTCTTTTACATTATTGTTTTTAATGTTAGAAAGAATTTCTTTAAATTTCTATCGAAATATCTTTTAATTTTTCAGAATTTTTTTCAGCGCTTAGATCGATCATTGGAATTAAATCGAACATGTAATTTTGCTCATAAACCTGAGAATGCTAACAAAAATAGATTTGAAAATGCAGTACCATTTGATCAATGTCGAGTTATACTTTCTATTGTTATAGGAAGCCATACGGACACTACCTATATAAATGCATCCCTAGTTAAGGTTTGTTAAAACCTGATCTAAATTGAAAATTTTTATAAGGCGTTCTTTCAATCTTTTTGATATTTGATTTCTTTTCAGGGATATTTTTATCCATACATACTGGCACAAGACCCCATTGATGAACAAACTTGTTATGATTTTTGGAGAATGATTGGGGATCAAAATTCTAAAGTAGTTGTTATGCTTTCGAGTGAAAGTGAATTCTCTGTACATGAGAAGGTAAAATCTCTTCAAAAAATTATAATAGCTAACTATAATCATTATTTTTATAATTATCAGACAACTAAAATTTTTATGAAAGCTCTCAAAATTTCGTGGTTTTATATCTTTATTTCTTTAGTACTGGGCAATTGAAATAGGAAAATCGATCTCATTTGGTCATGATGCCGATGTCTCCATTAAATTAATAAGTGAAGAGATATTTCCTACTTTTATACTCAGGAAGTTTACTTACAAATTTGTTAAGGTGAGTTATGATTTTACGGATTACATAAATTGTTAGTCATAATTGTTCCACTAATAAATTGCAGGAGAAAAATTATCGTGAAGTCGTTCAGTTTTCTTATCTTTGTTGGGCAACAGGGAATTTAGTTCCTATTTCAACTGATTCTTTAATCGATTTAATAAGTAGAGTTTTGTCATTGCAAAGTGATCATCAAGAAGCAGGACCAATCATACTTCATTCCAGGTTAATAAATATATATGGATAAATGAATATATCTAGCTGATTATTATTGCTTTTTAATCCAGGAACTACTTCAAAATTTTATACACAATCCTTAAATAAAAATATTTTAAATCGTGAAAATTTTAATAGAAATAAATTTTTAATCGGCTCTCTCATCCTATAAAATTTATTTATAGTGAAGCGAGTTTTCATTTCCCAAAAAGCATTTTTTTCTTTTTAATTATTTTTTGATTTAAATAATTTTTAGGGATGGTTCTTCTGAAACGGGTCTTTTCTGTTGTGTTTCTCTTTTATTAGAGAGATTGAAGGCTGAAAGCCGTATCGATGTTTTTCAAACAGTTCGTAGTTTGCAGCAAAATCGCCCTTTGCTTTTTAAGAAATTTGTAAATTTTTGCTATTTCGATTTTTAATATTTCATTTGGTTTTCTGTATGTTCTCTTCTAGTTTTTTTTCAATTTGAGTCGTTTCAGGAGCAGTACGCATTTTGCTATAAAGCTGTTATGGATTACTTGGATTCATTTAGTGAAAATGCTCAAATATTATAGTTTTCTTGTTTCTAAGTCGTATCATATTATTTTGCTATGTTTACTATATATATATATATATATATTTTGTTATATTTAATAATTTGTTTTCATACAATCTTCAAGTATACGCGCATTGCATATTATGTATATTAATGGCACGATGTCTTAGATACTTTATACTTTATTTGGATTATACGTATTTCCATAAATTCTTAGTGAATGAATTATTAAGTTTAATCTGTTTACTATTTTTATTCATCATTCGATTTTATCAAATCACAACTGTAAATATTTCATGCGTCTATTATTGTTATCATTTGGAAGCGGTATGTTTGAAAATGCTTAAATCATAGAATCTCGTTGTTATCATTTTCATTTTTTTGATGAGTTTTTGTGATGTTTTCTAATTTCAACCATTATTTAAATTTTATTTCATTTTTTATTCCTCATATTTTTTCTTAATTTTGTTGCTAAATTAAGTTGCATAATTTTTGTTTTAGAAACTGCTAAAGGTTTAGATTTAATGCATTTGATGTGAAATGAGTGTTTTTCGATCTACTTTAGCGCAAGCAACGGTTCCACGTTAAGTGATAAAAGTCCTTCTGATAAATTGCCGAAAGATTTCCATGGCCGTCACTCCTCTGGTAGCACAACTCAGGTTTTTTTCATTATTACTGCATTTTTATAGCATTTTTTTATAGGCTGTTTTATTTTCTTACTAATTTTAGGTTTTATAATTTATATTAAGAGAAAATTTGAAAAAGTTTTTTAAGATCACTAACTTGCAAATCTGAGATTTAATTTTCATTCTCTGTTGGGCAATGCATTACTCTTATCATTAAGCATACACAGGTATAATGGTTGGTTTTTATTGATTTATAACCTCATATTGTTTCTCATTTGCATGTTTTCGCTGTAATTTTTGGTGGAAATTTCATTTTATTTTTTAGTTTATTTGGTTAATGATACCAGCGCGCATTTTCTTTATCTATGTGCTTTCGAGTGAAAATGAAAGTAAAACATTTTATTTCGCCAAAATACCATTCTTTTCATTTGGTACAAAAAATAGCTGGATTAGAAGTTCATTATTAATTTGTCTTGACAATAGGGAACAGTAAGGGTCACCAAAGGTCAGATGAGTATTCTTTTTTTTCTGTTTTATTTATTCTTTTTAAGCAAAATGAGAGGTAAAAATAAAATTATAATTAATGGATTAATTAATTATAATTAATAAAAATTAGTTGGATCTAGACTCGTTAGCTCATTCTACTCTTTTCTATAATGTTGTATATATTTGTTTTGTCGTTTATTCGTTTTGATTGTAAAGCAGATGGATACTTCTGCAATTTTCTGGATATTCTGGACCAATGCAGGTTTGATTTTCGGCTTTAGAAAATCAAACAAATTAATCTTTTATTCGTCCCAATAAGGAAACAGAGAAGTTATCTTTTGATATCACGTATCATTTCTGATTTGGCTCTTTGCATTCATTGGGTATTAAAAGCAGGAATAAAGAAACAAAATAACTTTTCATTTGTAACATGTGGAGAATGCAAAGAATTTCAACATTTTTCCTAATTGTAAATGTGATAGTTGAGATATTTTTCCAGTTAAGGTGGCATTCCATTTAAAAATCACTAAATAAACTAGCGGAAATATCAGATAAGAGGGTGTAAAATGGAACTATAAACGTCGGTGCATTGCAAAAGTGTCCAAATGTATAAAATGTGTGCTCTTCGCTCAATTTTTCCCTCATTTTCCATTGAGTTTGATTTTCTATCTTAATTCATTTTTAAAAATGCTATCGTAGAAATGCTTATGCAAATAAATATACTCTCGATTAGCACCTTCCTTTGACTGTTTTTTAAAAATTTATAAAGCTCATTAAATGCTAAAGTATTAAACAATATTTTATAAAAATTTGATCATCCAAATGGAATCGGTGAATCTGTGGATTTAAAAATCGGCAAAAATTTGAAAAATTTGAGAATTGAGTAATTCTTACCATAAGACATGAATTATGGGGACCTCGATATTTTAGAGGATAGTGAATGTTGCCGTTAGTATCTTTTGAACATATCAATTTTAACGTTATATCCGTTCTTTAAAAACATCACAAATGATCTATTTTCCATTATTTTATTTATTATATTTTTCATTGTCATAATATATTTTCTTTCCTCCTCCGGTCATTTTGAAATGTTAATATTTTTGAAAAATTTCAAAAACCGAAGAAAGAAAATATTCAAAAGAACAAAAATAGAAACCCATATTGACAAAAAAAACTCATGCAAGATAAACACCATTGGATAAAAACAAACGAAAAGAAAACGATTTTACATGATTTGAAGTATCTTCTAATGTTATTATTGCTATTGATTATTAACTCTGCCGTGTACTCTAAATCGATACAAGCAAGTGTAGGAGTTTCCATGATTTGATAATATTCGAAATTCTATCACTCTCACAGCTGAAGGAGAAATAACGATCTGTAATAAAAGAGAATGATATGCTGATAAAATTCATTTAAGCACACTCGAAAAAAATCGTATGGCTGTCAGAATGTGGAAAATATTAAGATAAGGCAGATCATTTATGGTAATTATTTCTTTTAATATAATATTCCACTGATAAAAAAGGATAAAATGGAATGGTGGTCGTGAAGTTCGCTTGGTCTAAGAGGAAGAGACTTGGGTGCTTTTCGTTCTTTGACAGGAATCTTTGAAAATAAAACCAGAGGGGATATTGCATCCCGTATGCACTTATATACCAGAGGGATATATTTTTCTTTCTAGCACTTATTGTATGCCTTATTAAAAATGACAAGTAATGAGAAGTGGAAGAATAAAATGAAATAAAGAATAAAATGTAACGTGAATGAGATATAAAGAGTAAAGAGGCACTAAAATTATGGCATTTCTCGTTTAGAAGCCGGTTTGGATCCAATTTGGAAATCAGTTTCTTATCAGTTATCAGTTTCTAAATATTATTGATTATATGCAATAAATATGTGTCAATTCCTGTGGTGGACAACAAAGAACGTGCCTTAACCAGCGAAGGCGACGCTCCATGATGGTAAATGCAAGTTGCATTTTGCTCTGGATTATATATCTCCGACTAGCGATGTCCAATCTACACAGTTGAATATTGGTGGGGAAAGAACAGTCTTGACGGACGCCAATTCTTATTTCAAAGGAGTCTCCATAGACAGAGATATGCGCCCACGTAGATGATAAAGTGCCTTTATGAGTCGAATGATCTTCTCTGGAACACCGTCGCGTTCCATCATCCTCCAAATTGTTTTTTCAACTAAATCGAAAGCGGCTGCAAAGTCGATGAAACATGTAACGATTGGTTGCAAATATTTGAAAGGTGTTCCAGCATTCTTCTTAGCGTAAATATCTGGTCAGCACAACCGTGTCTCAGCTTTGTCTCATTGATATTTATATTATATGTCATTGAAGTGCTTTAATGATTCGGTTTGAAATGTGTTTATTATTTCCCGATCTTTTAGATTAAGATAGCTGAAAGAAGCATTTTGGGAGACGCTATATTGGTTTGAACCAAAATATGGTCAGATTCATGAAGGTTGTCCGATTCAGCGCCATGATAGGAATGGCTATCCAGTATAGAACTCTTTCAATGGCGAATGATTAATCAATCTGGTAGGAGTGTTGGTTATCCGGTTCCATGTATAGAAAGCCTATGATGCCGAAAGCATATTAGTGACAAAATGTTTATGCTCTTCGGGAAAGTGAAAAAGACGTTCCTCACTGGTGTGCCGGGGCTCCGATGCCATATTCGCCAATTGTCGAGATGATCGTAGCTGCATTATGACATGCTCATTCCAGTCTCCCCCGATTATGACCATGTTTCGATAGAGATTTTGTTAGCAACTGAAGTTCTTCAAAAGTCACAGTAATCTGCAGAAAAAAATTGAAGGATGATGATCGAGATATTGCAGAATTTACATTTAAAGGGCATAAGCCATATGATCACTTATCAGTTTCCACTTAATCAACGCAGAATGAGGCTTTTTAGACATGGCCATTTGACTCCGAGTTATCCAAAACACCATGATTTAGTCAATATCTCTGCTCGGAGCCAGATTTAGCAACTGCTCCAGAAACTCAAAATGAGAAAGATGGACCTTCGACAAGCAGGCAACATCCACACGATATTTAGAAATAGTGTGGACAGTGATCGTTTGGCTTGCAATGTCCATAAGCGTTCCATACAGTTAACACCTTTCCGCGCGTTGGTTTCCTTGATAGATCTCGAGAAATTGTCCTGGCTTGCAATTACATTTTTTTATAAACCTTGGGATCGTTTTATACTCGAATTGTTTACTTATCGCATATATCATCGGGCTAATGGGAATAGAATTGCTCAGTGGGTTGTTGCTCAGTTTGAAGCGCCGATGCTGAGGTTCGATTCCACGCAGGAGTAAACTTGTATAAAAATACGGGTGATGATGACGACTCACCTGTATTTATATCGCCAATGGCATATTGCACAACTGACAAGCCAGTGGAACGAGTTTAACCAGTAATGGTGAGGACTCATAAAAAAAAATATCATCGGGCTATCATGAGCGTTGGAGGATGCAGATGTTGTATCAAGAACTTTGTCCCTCTTACCATAGAATCATTAGAGTTATAAATGGGTCCCCAGCAGACACCTGGATTTTTAACAGGGTTACTCCTGTCGAAGACAAGGATAAAAGTGGAAAAATCAAAAACTTAAAAAGTTACAAATTAAATAAAAAAAAACATCGTTTGAGATGTCCAAACAAAGATTTATAGTAATCAGTAACATTTATTATTTCTTATATTTTAGTAGAACAGTTGAAAAAGCCGACCGTTCACTAAAATATGAAGATTAACGATATAAGGACCAATCGATGAAGAATTTGCTCACATCTTTTCAATCGAATGTGTCTAAATCAAAGGAAAAAAACAGAATTGAAGTTTCAAAATTCAATAATAAATACGAGGTTGCCAAAGCACGGATGTTTTCATTTGAAAAGGCTTGTGAAATCATTCGAATATACTACTGATAAATCTGAAATCTAAAATAACCATCTCAAAGCGGCACAACATTGAAATAATTCTCGTGTCATTGAATAAGTTCTTGATGGCTTGAACGATTGGAAGTTATGTTTCTTATTTTCATTTGGTCAAAACCGTATTCAACTAAGTCTTTGTATGGCAGTATAGATCTGGATCTTACTGGAATATTATTTCGAAAAATAATGACTTCCATAGTAAGCGTCTAATAATCTTGGAAAGTATGACTTTATTACGATGATGGGCTTACCTGATGATATGCAATCTCAACTACTAACAGTGGAAATCAACACTAAAAAAGAGTTGAGAGTGGCTCTTGAGAGGTTGAAGCCCATAAAGTTAAAATAAAAGTCACAAGTGCATTTCGAGAAAAAATCGATGATCCATGTGGAATTTTCACGTAAATCTAAATTCCATACTGAAATTAAAAGCATGGACCAAAACAAATTGAAGCGCTAGGCATTCCTTCGGACAAAAAAAGAAATTTTTGCAAAGCAGCTTTAGAAATCCTAGCTAATTCTTTAAAGAAAAGAAAAGTCTCGCTACTTTTAAAATCTTTGTCAATGGCCAAAGATTTAAACCACTCTTCGACACTGATTCCTGTGCTGCCTTTACTCGGGAAGATGGAGCTAAACAACTAAAACTCGAAAGTAACCGTTCAAATTGGATTAATTTCCTTTATTAGTTGTCAAGAAACTTTTGACAATTCTGTTTCATTGAATTTCTTATTCCGAGATCACCAAATACACAACAGGCAATAGTGATGCAATAGTGGTAACTTTTCATTATTGGTTTTCACACATGGCTCAAGGCCAAATGGAATGTCTTTTTAAATTTAATTTTTGACTTTGATAAAGATAAAGTCTACATAGCTTCTGAAACTTTATCAAGATTGGCTATAAAAGAAAAATCTATACGAATAGGAAATTCAAGCAATACTGCCACAAATAATGAGCTTAATTCCACAGATCAATAGATCCACACGAAACGAAAAGACATACGGAAAATTCTTGAAATGTTGCAAGATTTACCTCATTATAGAGGATATGACGGGTAATATCATACGTGAACATGAAAATCAAGGTTTTTCTGGAACAGCATGAAGCATTTTCAATTATATCCGTTACTGTGAAGTATCAATTTGGCAAGTTTAAAAATAGTCGAATATTCATCAACACATTTTCATATTATTCACCGAGACTTCGATAAATTAACAAGAAAAAGAAGGCAGTTCAAAACAACTTTCATTTTTAGCTGCTGTGGCTTAATGAAGGAGTTCTTTTGAACTGCTCACTTTTCCTTGTTATGAACCAAAATTCCACTGCTACCATCAGTTTTCTGGAAAGTAAACATTATTTTGAAGACTAAAAGTAAAGTAATGCTACTTGCTTCAATTTTGGACAATTTGCAGAACTGGCTTAAAAAAATGGTATTATTATGGTATTCTTAAAGTGTACTGCCCCATATCATCCAGAAATTAACGAATTAGTAGAGCGAAGGATAAGAGAAATATAAAAGATTTCTTTCTTGCTAAACTTCACTGGTAAACGGAAACCTCAAACCGTAGCATATAAGTACTTTAATCGATCATACTGTGAAGCTACTGGTTGTACTCCGTTCTTTAAAGCATTTGGTAGATCAGATTCAGCTGATAGTGATTTTGGAATTAATATCGACCTATAGCAAAAGAAATCTGGATATGCCAGATGAGTATGCAAACAAACCCAATTTGAAACCTACATGAATATCTCAACTTTCTCCAATTAAGCCTGGATCCGTGATTCTAGCTGGAATCGTTGATCGAAACGCTTCTTAGAAAGTGAAAGGATCATTTCTAGTTACTGATTTTTCTAAATATGAGATTCATCAAATCGGTACGATATACGGATGGTCTCAATAGAATTCACACAGCTCATACCGTAATTTCAAGGTTTCATCCGAGGTCGGATGATTCGAAGGCGAGGGAAGTGTAACGATTAATATAAAACAGTTGTTGACATCTTTAATATTTTAGTATTTAGTATTTTAATGAGCATTCGACTGCAGATCGAGACGTCCCCGGTTCAAATCCGGGTGCCCCCTTCCTTTTGCCTGCTCACCCAATTGTTCAGTAATTATATATATATATATATATCCATTAATTATATATATATATATATATATACCGCTATATAGAGCTGGGTCATCCCTTAGTATACAATGTGTTATTTTCCCTTTGATGTGAATAAGATATTTTATATTTTTATTTATATATTATATTTTTATAAATATATTATATTTATATTTTGTATAATTCGTCTTATTATTGTATTACAATATGAAAATATATTATTGTTATTTGAGCTGTAATTTAAACTGTAATTACGTAACAGTTATAGACCAGCGAGCAGGATCGAATGCAAGCGATTTAAAATTTACTTTCAAGAAAGATGGTGGAAAAACTATACTTCATCGATAAATAGTAGTGAATGTAAGTACTTAGTTACGCAGTATTAAGGCCTCAGCCACCATTTATCAGAAAAGGACAGCGTCAAAAAGAATATTGATAATTTAAAAGACCGTTCTTGTTGCTAGATGCTTTGCCTTATGCTTCAGATGTGAAGTGATTTTTCCGAAAATGTGAAATCCACATAATCATCAGCTACCACACAGATGGCTGAATTTTTCCAAAGTATGATGAAGTTTCAAGAAAAAATGATTAAATACCATCAAAGGTGGATAGAATTAAATAAATCAAATAAAATTGCAAAACTAGTATCCTTTCTCACAATTTTTTCACTCGAAGTTTTCAGAAATATGAACTATTGAAGTACCTAATAGTACTTTTGCTTCCTCCTTTCAAAAAAAGTAATAATATCGTATTGTTCACGACAACATTTATTTTCAAAACTTCAATCCTTCGCCAAAGCAGACAAATATTATATTGTTACCCCTCTTGTTTTTCTCGTCATTAATACTATCATAATTTGGTTTCTTTCTGTCTAGCATCTTTTTCTATATATTCTATGATAATATATTCATTTTCACTTCACTTTTTTATCGCAGGCTCATAGGCTAAATTTTGCTTTACCTTTTGCTTCTTAAAAATAAAATCATTCGCAACATTATTTAGCATAATGTACGAAGGTTAGCAGAGCTATTTTCTTGTTATTTATTAATCATTTTTCATGCAGATTTTACTTCTTTGCATGATATCTTTTCTCTTTTCTTTTATTGTTTTGACACTAGCACATGGCCTTGCTTGGTCCCTTTCCATAAATAAATAAAGCGAATAGAATGGTGATCATAAATAAAAATTACCTGTGTTCTGAAAAATTGTAATGGCCGCCCCGTACTTTCATACTGATATTCACCCAGCATTCGACGAGTGTTCATTTCATCCTCATCATCATAACCCTAAACTTTTTTTGAAATTTGTGCAAATTTTATATTACGTAATAAACTATAAAAACTGAAAGTATAACTACAAAGAATAAATAAGAACATAACAAAACATAACAAAAAATTACGAACCCAAACTTGAAAAACTTTAGGTGCACTACTAACTGAACCATCAGCACTAAGCTGAGCAGGTAAATGTTCATATGATACTGAAGTTACATTGATAGAATGACTCAATCGTACCGAAAATCGACCAACTTCGCCTTTGAAAGACCAGCAGTCACCAGTGCTTGGTCCAACTCTGCGCTAAATTTGAAACCTATGAAAAGAAGATACCAAGTAACTTAAATTAAAACGACGATTAAATGATAATTCATTAAAAAATTTAATTTAATTTACGACTTAATTTAACATAATCAAAAACAAAAGTTTTAACAAAAAAACCTGTATGACGATTCTTGGTGATATGGTTTCTTGAAAAAATGGTATCCCAAGATATTTTTGATAACGCCATGCATTTTCGTAAGTGGGCGAACATTTCTTTAAAAGTACTGTACCACCTGAAATATCATAGAATAAAAAAAGAAAAAGCAAATTGAAGATAAAATTGCCAATTTTTTAAAAAATCACCAGCAGATTCAAGAGCAAAGTCATGTAAACCAGTTTTATCAGCATCATAAACATCGATAGCAGCACGGACTGCTTCTTCGACAGTTTTTCTTTCATTAATCTTTTTTATTTTGTATTCTTTATCCCATTTTCTCCACTTTTCATCCATTAAACTCATTTTTAGTATTACTGCCTCTAATCTTCTAGCAATTTCTGACATTTTCTGCAAGACAAAACACTAAATTAGCACAGTAATAAAAGGCAAAAAAAAAAATTCAAACAGAGTGGTATTAAAAATGGATTATTCATCTTGGAACTTATTAAAAAAATACTTGGGTGACAGAAGAAGAATCCTCTGAACTGACTTTCCTCGAAACATACTGTATATATTTTATTAAAGTCGAATGATGTTCACCGGAACTATTAAAAATATTCTCAAAATATTTAGTAAATATTTCATGAATAAATGGCGAATCAATCTAAAACAGAAATATCCATACTATTATAGAGGCATTTTTTCAAAAACAAAAATAAACAGAATAAATTTTCATTCATCAATTCATAATTTAAAATTAAAATTAAGTTAAAATTAAATTTAGCTAAAAAGACCAGGCATTGACAATGGTTTGCAAGAATGTTGTAATCGGTATTTTTTCTTTGCTTGCTAGCTAATGGCTGCTCTCCTGAAAACGATATATAAAAAATGAGGGAAAATAGCGTTTTTTGGAGAATTTAGCATTTTTTTGAAATTTAGCGTAACAGTTTAGAATCGCAATTTTTTTTAATTTTTCCTTCTCAGAGATCAAATCCTAAAATATTCTCAATGAGAATTAAGTTTTAAATTTTTAATTATTTAGAAAAAAATATTTGAATTTACCAATTCCACACGACCAGTAAAAAATTAAGAAAAAAAAAAACAGCGGAAAAGTTGACCAACGCCACTTGCAAGCGGATAAACAAAATTGCACTGGGTCGATGACGCTTAAAAATTATTAAATTTTTGATTAAATATTAAATATTAAATATTTATTTATTAAATATTTGATTAAATATTTATTCTATAAAGATTCCATAATCTGTGAAAATCTTATCTTGGCTGATCGTTAGCGAAGATTTTTGAAGAGTGTTTTCTTTATACGGCATTATCTCTGTCGATGGCGAATGATCTTTTAGCGAGACCTGATGCGGAAAACTAAAATGTAGTTTCTTTCGAATTATATCGTCCATAATATACTCATTGTTCATTAAATGAACGATAAATCAAAAAGACCAGTGGCGAAAAGCCCTATTTTCCGAATATTATCAGCAGTTTTATTTATTCTAAGAGATTTTCTGATAAAATCTAAAAACTACTTTTTATTTACTCTATAAAGCTATTTTCCAAGTCAATTTAACCAAAATATTCCAATATTATCAAAGATTATCAAACATTTCATGAGGATCAGATGATTCTACTGTTCGTTCTGTTTTCATCTTTCGGCATATAAGCCTAAAATCATCACCGTCATCGTCAGCAGAACCATCGTCATTCATCATTCCTTTTGGCATAAAATCAAAATCCATCTAAAATGATGAATTAACATCTAAAAGACAACTCGAAAATATTTTATCAAAGAATTAGGCAAATTAGGTATTTACATTGGATATATGTCACTGTTTGTTTCTCACACATCGAAGGCATAATAATATCGAAGACATTTAATCTTTTGTAAACAATTTTCTCAGCAAATAGAAAGATGTGTTTTCTTTTTATTTTGTTTTTTAGCTAACATTTATTTACCAGATTTGCCGTTACTAACGAATCATCGGTAACATAAGCACTGGAACGACTGTTTAAGAAGCACTGTTTAAGAAGCACTGTTCAAGAAAAAATTACCACATTCATAATTTTTTGCCAAAATTTTGCCATCACAGCCGTAAAATCTATGAGCTGCTAGTGAATTCGAAGTGATTAACTATGGAAAAATATTAAGTATTGAAAGGGAAATTGAAATTAAAAAGCAGGCAGACCACAAAATGAAAAGCGATAAAGCATGAAAGATTTTGTCAAAGACCCGAAAAATTGCCAAGCAGTCCAGTTGAATAATTTCAGATGAAGCTAAAATCCAAAAAACTAACGATTTTTTTCTCGGTTTGTCGAATCTTAAAAGTATTGCACTTTTTGGTTCCATGATTTTTAGCCATTTTTTCAGATAATCCTGAAAAATTTGCTCTTTTTTTACTATTTAAACCACTCGTTGCTGAAGAAATAACACTGGCGTGGGAAGGAGAAAAAACTTATGAAACGGCAAAAGAGGTAAAGGAAAAAAACTGCCCACTCGAGGTGAGTCGACTAATAGAAAAGTATTCCCACAAACCCTTTTTTAACCCTTTAGGAAAAGAATGGCTCAGTGGTTGTTGCTCAGTTTGGAGCGCCGAAGTTCTATTGCCCGCAGGAGTAAACCTGTACAAAAATACGGATGATGATGGCGATCCACCCGTATTTCTATCGCCCCAGCGTATTGTCCAATGTGACAAGCCAGCGGAGTTCAACCAGTAATGGTGAGGACTCTTAAAGAAAAAAATCTGCGATACTGGCTATTGATATCAAGTAATACATCTGATAAGCCACACTCGCAATAAAAGGCACCTTTTTATTAATACAAGTACCATCCCTTTCCCGCGGAATACATTACTTTCTTTCTATCGAATATTACTTCTATTACCAGTGCTACCAGTATTATTTAGCGTAATCATCAATATTTACACAGACGTAAAAGACTTCAGCTACGACGTAAAAGACGATAAAACATATCCTCCGAGATTACGTTGCCCATCCCCCCCCCCCCCCCCCCCCCCCCCCCCCCCGCCGCCATCACTCCTATTCCACAGTCGCCAGTCTATCGCCCGCTATTTTTCCATTTGCATTTGGCAGCGAATCGAACTCGGTCGACGTTTAGTAACCTCGCGCGGGTCATCAGCAGCTTCAGCCGATTCTAATTTTCTTCGGCAGTTCGTGGAAGTTGGCTCGGAAAAGCGTTTGAGGGGTGTTTTTCAATTTATTTCGAACTGCTTTTCGTGCATTTAAGGGTATTTTTTGCTTATTTGAGTTGATCGAGTGGTCTAATTTCGTTTAGAAAAACGAAAAAACAAGCGTTAATCATTAGAGTATTTTCGATCTTTGAATTTCAAAGAAATAAATTTCTGCTTCAAACTTTTAAAAAATCCTTTATTGAAGATTTTTTATGTTTTTTATGTTTTGCAACTCAAAGTTTATTTTTATTCAAAAATTTATTTATTTATTTATAGCGGTGAATCAGTTTTCATGAAATCAAACAATTGAAAATCTAAAAATGGAGCGACCAAAGGACGAACGGCGTAAGTCGGAATGAATTGACTTTTCTCTTTCTCGCTCTTTTCTTTTTTTCTCAAAAGTCGGGTGAAATCGCTGAAAAGCTAATAAATTATTCATTTTTTATTCAAGCAATAATTTTTTAACGTCGAGAATCGTTGTTGAACTGTCTTCGTAAAACTCAGAAAAAAGAGAACGGACGAATCTGTAAAGATCAAAATCAAAATCGAAGATGAACGAACAACAAATAGAAAAGCAGTAATTGTTGAGTGTGAAGAAGATAAACAACAATTTCACTATCGACTAACATTTGTAAGGTTATTTCGGAAACTCGAACTCGAATTTTTCGTCAAGATTTTTCGAGTATTTAGTTCGTATTCATTGTAAAAATTTTTAGATAACATTTTACTTACAATGAGAGCGACCATCTTCATTCTTCTCGTTTATTCAGTGCTTTTAATAAATGCACAACTTTATGGTTATGGAATGGGCAGTTTACTTGGTTCGCCATATGGTTATGGTTAGTTAATTGAGTTCTTCCCTATTTCATTTATTTTTTTTCATTTTTGTTTTTAGATAAAGTCAAGACAGTAAATTAAGGTAACGAATAAATTTCAGCCAAAAAAAATTGTTTTTGCAAGTAAATCTCTTCTGTGGACAGCTCTTGCATTTGGACTGCACCATAAAATTAACTGTTACAAATTATCTGTTTTTTGAGTGAATCCTTTTTGATCCGTTGAGAATTTCATTTATCCAAATCCTTTTAGCACATTGATAAGAATTTAATTAAAATCCTGCAAGAAATATTTATTCAGAAATATTCTGGAGTTCACGGCAAATACTATGCATATTATTTTTAAGGAATGAACCTAATGCTTTTTTTTTCTAAAATTTTCGTCTATTTCTGTCTATTTCTATTTACCTGTTGTTTATTAATAATAATTTTATTTAATAAATAATACTTTTTAGAATGATTACTTACGAAGTAAATAAACAAGTATAGCTCAATTTATAGGACTTGGCGGTTATGGCGGTTATGGCAGTGGATATGGCGGATATGGTGGATATGGCGGATATGGCGGATATGGTGGTGGTGGTTTTGGTATGGGAGGGATGGGATGTTGCGTTGGAATGTATGGTAAGCGGAAATGATTGTGGTGAAGAAATTTGTGGTTTGGCGATAAACTTTAGGTCGTACTTTGAAAAAAATCCATATGTTGTATAATTCAAAAATTATTCAAACCCACTTTAAAAAATGTCGCTTGAATGTTAGATTTCGATTATTTAATTTTAATATTTATTTAATATGAATTTTCTTGAAATATTCAACCTTGCTGCCTTTACAGTTCTGTGAACTTGGAATTCGAATAAACATTCTTCATTCCTTTTTTGCAATTTTTATCTTTAGCATATTTTCTTTTTTGCACTTGGCATTTACTATATCTAAAAATTGTGATCTATTCTAGCTTTTCTTTAGTTTTTAAAAAGTTTCTTTATTTTCCTTCATTTTTTAAGTTTCTTTGAAGTGGTCATATGGCTTATTAACTTTCGAGTTATTTTGAAATATTCCTGGATGATTGCTTTTCATTTTCAGAATTTTAGGTTGATTTTATCATCGTTTCTTCGCAAAAAATGAGCTTTTTTACTAATCGATTTTTTTAAGTTTTTCGAGAATCTTTTTCTTCAGTTAATGAAAAAATGTGTTGTGAATATGAAAGTGTGGTTGGTAAAAATATTAGCTCTTTACTCAAAAAGAGTTAATTGAAATATGCGATAGAAATAGAGTTTCCTTTTCATTAAGTTATTTGTTTAAATTTTACGGGGAAGAATATCTATAATATAAATGGTTTTTTATAAATGCAGTTATTCAATTATTTGGCGAGTTCTGCCACGGTGCCGAAAATTATTTTAAAGGATTTTCGTCGCCATTAATCCGATCGAATTTAAGCGATTAGATAACGACCTGTCAGTTTGTGGGTACGGAAGGTGTCTCAGGTGAATGATTAAAGGCATACAGCTTGCTAGCATCTTTTCATTGACGATAATAATTCAGTTTGAAATGCGCTCACTGTCCCCGGATTTTTTGATTTGAGATAGTTGAAGGATCTTGGAGGATGCTGCTTTCTGCGAGTTGTCAATTTTATGCGGATCTTAGTTCGGACCACAACATGGTCAGATCCATAAGGATTTCATTGGTGGAGCTTCGTATTATAATAGGATTGTTCGTGCTACAGCTGAATAGATGTGAAATAAAAAAAGAAACCTTCGTTATGAAGCTTAGCCAGAAGAAAGAACCTCTGGCTGCAGCCATCCAAGCTGGAATTTCATCTTTCGTCCGACCTAAAGATATGAGAGTGGGTCCGAAATATTTAAAATCTGACACTTCGACTGTAGATGAGTTTATAAATTACGATAAAACTGGTATATAAAGACGAAAAGAGTTTGTTTTATTTATATCGATTTGAAGGACAATTTTCCATTATCGAAACCCGGTCTAGTATTTGCAGTTCATCTAGTTGTCAGTAGGACAGAGGGACCATATCATCAGCATTATTCAGGATCCGTGATCTGGGCTGATTTGTATGCCTTTTGATCTTCCGCACAGAAAATTGTAGAGAAGGCAATCTTCATGCACATCAGTACTTCAAAAGAATCTCTTTTGCTGTCTTTTAAGCATAAATTTTAAATGCATTGCCATGAACTCATTCAGCACAAAATCCTTTCCAGAAACATTTGGCCAACCTGCAACACGACCGTTCAGCGATTTTTGTCAAAATGTCAAAATGCTTTCGTTTTTTTACTCTGATAATTTCATAATCTTATTTTTTGATATCAATCATTGGAGATTCATTGCAGAGAACTTATCAAAAGCAATTTTAAAAACATTCTTTTAAGCGAAAAACGGCAATAGAGAGGAATTTTACTGGCTAGAGGAAGTGGCTGGCAAAAATAGATGAGCTGACCATATTTGAGACACCGAATAATCCAAGAATTAAGCGAGAGGATAATCTGATAAGATAGTGAAATCGAAATACCGCTCGATATTCTAATATCCGCTTAAACCATTAAATTTTACTCATTTAGTAACAAAAACAAAAAGTTTACTATTTGGTTTTCTGCAAATCGGTAATACCGAAGATATTTGTTAAAGCCACCTGACATATTTAAAGCTCGAAAATGTCATAATGTTAATCCTGAAGTCGATTAAGAAATATTTAAGAAATCGTTTTAATTTAATTCACATCGAACTGCTAGTCTCAAGCTCGAAAATTTCCCGTTTTTCTCTGTTTTTTCTCTAATGAAACTGTCGCCAAATTGCGCATGGAAAATGTTTCATGGTCAGTTGTTGGCCTCCACCTTTTGCGCTGTATCCCCGTGGGGCTAAGCCATTTAACGGCACCAGAAACTTTCTTTTACTTTCGGTCTCCACTGGCTGTTGTCCGGTTTTTTTTTTCGTTGTATATTCTGTCGTCTTTTTATCATATTTGAACCCTTTTTGCACATTCATTATTTGGAATGCCAATAAACTTCGACATATAACTCTAAACTGAACTGCTTCATCAATTAACTCTTCTTTAATTGATAAGTCCTCAATTCTATGGTGAAAGACTCTTTAACATGGCGTCCGCATCTCTAACGCGCATAATACTTTACTTCTTGTCTGCGACAATCCAGTGGTAATAAAACCTCAAGACTTATAGGTTGTGTGATTAATGAAAACCTGTCGAGGGAAACGAAAGAGTTAGCACCACTTTGTATGCGCGGCGAAATATTGGCCATAGCTACTTGGAAGAACGTCAGAACAAACCAAGTGATCACCGCCAACCCTTTCCAAATTCCGCATGGTTGTTAGAAATCCATATTCCTCACGTCGGATCTCGAGTAATTATTAGACCTGGCTCCGAGCAGAAATATCGGCTAAATCATGATCGGATAACTCGAGGCAAAATGGCATAGCGATTGCTATGTCTGAAAAGGCCTATTCTTTTTGATTAAGTGGAAACCGGTAAGCAACCGTATGGCCTATGCCCACTTTAAAAGTGAATTCTGCAATATCTCGATTATTAGTGCTATGCTTCAACTGTGTCGGTGCGAATTATGGTGAATTAAGATTTGAGGAATTCTGGGGCTATAAATGGTTGGAGCGAATTTCATAAAATGCTATAATGGAGTATAAAGGATGAGATAAAGAAGTTTAAGGTAATATTAATATTAATACCGATTTTCGGTGAAATAGTGTAAGAGACTTAACGGAATATTAGGGAAACTCATGCAGCTTTGAGGAATGTTAACGAAATATAATAGATTCCGAGAAATATGTTAAGGGCGGAAAATGGAAATGAATGGTTGATAAGGTTATATGGGATTTAAAAGAATATTATAAACCAATTATAATTACTTTAGGGGCTGAAATCTTCTTCTAATAGCTTTCACCATTATTCGTTAGGATGGCTCAAATAACTACAACAGTAAGACGCTTCCAAGCGGGGCTGTCTGATGTCATCGTCGATAGTAATAGAAGCCATTCCTTTTTCCATCGTCTAAGTCCATATATTGCTGGTCCACCTAAATCTATGCGTTCAAATCTTTTCTGATCAGTCCAGGTCTTGATTGGTCCACTCGTTTTTGACGCTACCTAACACAGGTTTAGCAAATAACAAAAAAATATATGTGAACTCTTGTAGTCGATGACGTAGAAAGTGACCTAACCAGCGAAGACGACATTCTATGATGGTTAGATTTTATCACTCGGCGAACTCGTAAAATGTACTTTATATCCTCCACTCTCACTGGCCATCTCTCGTAGCCATATTATCGAAAGAATCGCGGCTAAATAGATGCGGACTTTCGTTTTTATGGTGATTTCTCGAGTGCTCTATGAAGGTTTCGTCAACGGGAAAAAAGCATTTCTAGCTGCCATTATCCGGTTGTAATTTCAACTTTCGCCTGGTTATTCGATATTAGAGTGAATCCAAGGTATTTAAAATCTGGCACTCAACTGGCATTGATTTTGCATTGTTTATAAAAAACTTTCGCTTTTTACATTGATCATGGGTCCGATTCTCGTTGTAGTTGTCGACAAATTGCTTAGCATTATTTACATTTTGTCATAACTGTTAGCAAAAAAGAACTACATCATAAGCGCATTCACGATCTGTGATACGATGCTCTGGACTGATTTGGAGATCTACTGAGAACGGTATCCATTATCAGTCTATCGCATAGTTGAATACAGGGGGGAAAGAACAGTTTTGACGGACACCAATTTTTATTTCGAAGGAGCCTGTTAGTTCCCCATATGCAGAGATATGCGCCGACGCTGAAAAAATGCCTTTATGAGTCGATGAAACACGTAATGGTGGGTATATATTTAAAGTGATGTTCTAGCACCAGTCTTATTGGCCTTAAGCTTATGGATAACAGATATGGATAATAGATATTAATAGATTAATAGATTCTTCTTCTGTCCTGGGCTCGCAGTCGCAAGCATATGGTTCAGCGAACATATCAGCTATATCAGGGGCGCTTCATGGTTAAATTTGGCCTCAAAGAATTCGTTTCATCTTATGAGGCGGTCCTTGATATTCTTGATTGGCACACCATTGCTGTCTCTTACCATTTCACTGATCGTTCCCCGAATTATAGTTGCTTAGTTGAAAATCGAACCGCCAACTCCATTCTCAAGGCCATGTCACTCCAATAGTGATTTCTGTCCCGCAGTGCTATTTTAATTGCAGATCTTCGAAGTATTCGGTGATCAGAATAACCTGACATTCGTGCTTTGGCAGCTTCTTCAGACAATTGGGCAGTATTGGGCTTCCGATACCCAACGAGCGCACTTCCTACTAGTATGACCTAACGTAGAAGTGGCTGACTTTCGGAGACCTTCATTCTTTTAGTTTGGACCAGTATTCATTTACCGCTCCAGAAAAATCATTGTATCACTGAAATGCTTCAATAATTCGCTTTGAAATGTGCTCATTTCCCCGAATTTTTTAGTTCGAGATAGGATGCTGTTTTCTGCGAGTTGTCAATTTTGGGCGGATCTTGGCCCTAGCCATAGCATGGTTAGATCCATGAAAATTGCCCGTTTCAGCACCACGATAGGAACGACTATCTAATACCGAATTTTTCAGACGGCGACAGACTAA